ACTTATCTCCCCAAGAGTAAGAAAAAAACTTGTAACAGGAATAATCCCTATTGCTTGAGAGACTCGGGTGAAACGCAATTATGAAGGAGACAACTCAAGCAGGCAATTGGTGAAATGAGAGAGTGGTCCAATTCAGAGGCTTGAGGCTTGTTAACTTCGAACGATAGACAGCCTGAGGCTCATAACTTCCATGCAGGATTTGGTTTCTTACTTATTAGGTTCTATCAAGATCACAGTTAAAAGTTAATCACCAAATTAACTTGCAAGAGAAATTGTCAGGAGCCAAGTGTTATGCCTACAAATCGACTTGCAATCAAAGGGATCCCAAGAGCTTAATTGCTACTTCAACATCTTGTATTTTCCCTTTTTTTCTTTTTTTCCAAATATATTGGGGCATAAAACACATGACAGCATGCAAAATGCAATTGAAGGAAACAAATTTCAAACACAACGGAACTACCACTGAGAAAGGAATATTTCTTCATTGCAAATTATGAAGGCAATAATCTTTGATTGTTTGTCAATGAGGAACAGCTCAAAAGAAAGAAAGAAAACTCAGGAAATTGTTAATTCCGAATCACAAGTTCGAGCTTGCTTGCTCTATATCACCACTCTAATCTTTGATGTTTGAATCACAACAACATGTAAGTACCAAATATTGGCACCTAAACATGCGAGGCATCCTTCTAGCTTGAACAAGGAAAATAAATACCATCCAGTATGATCACTCGGAATCTGAAACGAGAGAGGGATGAAAAGATGCATCAGAAAGAAGAGAACCCTGCAATTTGTCTAAACTTCTCATATGAGACCCAGAACACAAATTGCCAAGGACCAAGCCTTGCCCATGTAGGTATGAACCCTTTCCACAATGCTCTTAAACCCTCAACTTTGACAGTCTTCACCAAACAATCATAGGAATTGTTGTACATAATCTTCCCTTGTTTGCTTCTAGACTGGTTCATCATTCTTGTCTTTACCACATCGGCTGGACAACTCAAAGCAGTTGCTGAAAGGCCTGACATGATTGATGCCAAAGTGTGGGCATATATGTTATCGTCCGAAATTCGATTTTTGATAACAAAATGTTTCGCCTGATCATAACAGGCCAATTCTCCCATGTTCACCAAGAATGCTCTTTGGACATTAGGGAAAACCCCTTTCCAAAGTCCTCCAACGCCCTCCAATCGGACGATCTTGTTTAAAGCATCAAAGCACCCTGAGTACCTAGGTTGAAGGCCTTGGCTCACCATACGACCATCTGCTTGCATCCTCACCTTAACAAGATCTGCGGGGCTTGCCACCAACTGTACTACTAGCAGTAAACAGAAGAACACTATTACTTTCAAAGCAAATACAGAGTTAAAGAAAATACAAAGCAGTCAGCCTAATCAATTATTGGACCATTCGATTGGCAAAGAAACGCACAGCACAACCAAGTAGGCCAACCTAACATGGATTATCATGTGGAAAAAGCTGCATTTAAATATCAAGAGTGTGTAAAATGCAGTGAAGTTTTGTACATATAAATTCATATGCACGTCAAAGTATGAGATTGAAGCAAATTCAATGTGAATATAATGTGACAAAACTGCATTACTAATCTTCAGAAACGCCCCGAACTTTCTTACAGAGCACACAAATTCAAAGCTCAAGCATTCATTTTCTCATTGTCAATTCGAACAAGCTCGCATTTTTAAACTTACCAATTTTCTCTAAAATGAATCGGTAACACTATTACTTCCAATTTCCCTTTTGACCCAAAAAAAAACTAAACGAAACTTTCAATCTCCCAAGTCCAAAAACTTATCAAATTACAAATCCCAATTATTTTTTTCGAAAAGGGACCCAACCCAATAAGTTAGACACAATAAGAAAGCAAGTTACCTGAGCAACGACGCCGGAAAGCCCACCGGAGAGAGCTTTAGCGGGGAGAGAGAGGGACGCACCATCGGTTTTCAGTGAGCTTCTGAGGTGCTCGTACCCGACGATCCGAATTGGCGTGTAGAAGAGGTGTCTGAGAATCGCAGGAGACAATCCCTTGTACAGCCCAAGAGGGCCTTGCTGCCGCACGATCTCCGAGGCCACTAGGAACCCGTTGGTGGGCCGAGCAGATCCCACCGACACCGACTCGCCGTGCAGCTGAAGCCTAGTCTTTGTCAGGTCTATCGGAAACGTCGTCGTCTCCGCCACCATGGCTGAGATCGACGCCAGTAAGATCTTCCTGTAGGCCCCATAATCTTCGCTCGGTTTCATCGTCGACGGAACTATAAAATTGAAGAACAAGGACCGAAAATCAGTTGAAGGATAATCTAATAGATTGGGAAACGACATCAAGTTATATAATTGAACGACAGTGTGTTACATGTCGTTTTAGTAGGAAATGACTGTTTATGAGATAGAAGCGAGAGTTGAGCTACAAGTCTTCGACCTCGTTTGAAAATAATTTTGTAAGAAGCATATTTGTTTATAACCGCCTTTTTATAAGCACATTTATTAGAAGAACGTTAAAAATTTATTGAAAGTAATTAAGCATTCGGAGGTAATTTTTGAATTCTACGATATCGTAAGTGTCTTTAATTTCTAAATCCAATTAGTTAGAGCTTTTGTGACTTAAAAGTACGATATCATAAGCATCTTTTATCCCTTTCGGAAGTACTACAAACATGTCATTCGTATTGTACGAGATATAATGCTCAATTGAAATTTAAGAAACAAAATAACCAAAAGCGATGGTTTGGCTAAGATGCCAAGATGCCAACAAACATATCCGTTCAATCAGGTTCTAGTTTTTGTTTGCTTTATCTACTGGCTGTAACGACACCGTCGAGACCGGCATAGCCGTTCAACGTTACAAAAAATGTAAAATAATAAAGGCCGGCCTTGTGACCGTTACATAACGTCAAATTCAAAAACTACAGAGAAAGCCTCCTCGCTTACCCAAATTAGTCATCGTAGTCAGAAATGAGAGAAACCCAACAAGATCAGCTAGTAATGGCAGAAGAGCAAATGCAGCAGCTCAGATCCAAAGCCACAGAGCTCCTTCTCAGAGAAGAATGGAAGGAGGCCGTACAAGCATATTCTCACTTCATCATCTTCTGCCAAGACCAGGTCTCAAAGACCCCTGAAGACCCAGAACATCTCCTCAGGCTCCATAAATCCCTCTGCTTAGCCCTCTCGAACCGAGCCGAAGCACGATCCAGACTCCGGGACTTTGCAGAAGCCTTGAGGGATTGCGATCAGGCATTGAAAATTGAGAGTACCCATTTCAAGACTCTTCTCTGCAAAGGTAAGATTTTGCTGAATCTGAGCAGGTATTCAATGGCATTGGAATGCTTCAAAACAGCTCAGCTTGATCCTCAGGCTAATGGGAGCTCTGTTAGCCTCAGTGGGTACTTGCAGAAATGCAAGAAGCTTGAGTTGATGTCGAGAACTGGAGCGTTTGATCTCTCTGAATGGGTGGTTAATGGGTTTCGCGGAAAGCCTTTGGAGCCTGCTGAGTACATTGGACCAGTGCAGATAAAGAAATCTGAGATTAGAGGGCGAGGCCTGTTTGCAACAAAGAACATTGATGCTGGAACTTTGGTGTTGGTCACCAAAGCAGTTGCCACTGAGAGGGGTATTTTGCCGGATCAAAATCTGGTTGGGAATGCTCAATTGGTCATGTGGAAGAACTTCACTGAAAAAGTTATAGATTCAGCGGCTAAATGTTTGAGAACCCGGGATTTGATCAGTACATTGTCAAGTGGTGAAGATGAGGATGAGCTTGAGGTCCCTGAGATCAATCTGTTTAAGCCTGAGTCAGAGCATATTGGTGGCTACCCAAATGAGAGGCTTGATGTGAACAGGATTCTAAGCATCTTGGATGTCAATTCTCTTGTTGAGGATGCAATCTCTTCTAAGGTTTTGGGGAAGAACAGTGACTATTATGGTGTCGGGCTATGGGTACTGGCTTCATTCATCAACCATTCATGTGTTCCCAATGCAAGGCGTTTGCATGTTGGAGATTATCTAATAGTTCATGCTTCCAGAGATGTCAAGGCTGGGGAGGAGATAACATTTGCATATTTTGATGTGCTTTCTCCATTGGACAAGCGCAATGAAATGTGCAAGACATGGGGGTTCAGGTGTGATTGTAAGAGGTGCAAGTTTGAGGAGGATTTGTATTCACGGCAAGACATAAGAGAGATTGAGATGGGTCTCGAAAGAGGGGTAGATGCCGGTGCTGCAGTTTATAGGCTGGAGGAAGGCATGAGAAGATGGACGGTGAGGGAAAGGGAGAAAGGGTACTTGAGAGCATCATTTTGGGATGCATGCTCCCAGGCTTATAGCCCAGAGAAGTCGGCGAGAGGGTGGGGAAGACGGATACCACCGATGGATTCGGTGGTCGATAGCATTGCGGAAGCAGTGGGAAGTGATGAGAGGGTTTTGAAGATGGTGGTGGAGAAGTTAAAGAAAGGCAGTGGGGAAGTTGTGGAAATGGAGAGAGCTTTGAAGCTTGGAAGAGGGGTGTATGGGAAAGTAGTGAAAAAGCAAGCAATGAAAACTCTTCTTGGAATTGGCATTCTTTAAACCAAGCTATTAACTAATAGCTAAAATTTCCAATTTTTATTATATTCCCTTGTAGTGGCCAATAATCAGTTAACCTACTGGGCTAAAGAACTGATTTGCTGATTTTTGTTCAACTTAATGAAATCCGCCGACTCTTTTCTTTATTTTATCTCATATTTTACTGATTAGCTGCTATGTATTAAAAGCTTTGTGTTAGGATCCTCCCAAGAGATTTTGTTTTATCAAGAATCCTCCCAAGAGTTTCATTCTCAGAATTTTCCTTTAATTCAGTGCTAGAATTTCTCAGCATAAATTAACTTTGGCAGTTATCAAATTAAAATTTCAAAATTTGCTACTCAACCAGACTTGTACGATGGATCAATTTCAGAGAATATAAACTGAAATTGCTGTATTCACTGAAGATAAACACATTAAGAATGGTAATAGTGCTCTTATTTCAATCAATAAAGAGGCGGTAAATGCAAACACAAAGGCAATCATTTAATTGTAAACATCCAAAACCCTATCTCTAAGTTCATTTTCCCTTTCCTTTTAACGGTCATCAAAGGAAAATGCAAAAATTCAACCTGACTCCAAAATACAAAATAATTCGGAAACAAATATGCTTCAGATCTCAAATGTCAGTCATTCGCACCAGTTTCTTGTAAAGAATGTGGTCATCCCTTCCGGTGTTGCTCTCTAATAATGCACTCTGCACAAGTTCCTGATGCAGAAAAAACAAGCATGACCAAACTGTCAAAGATAAGAATAAACTAAATACAAAATGAAGCAACAAAACAAAATTTTATACTTCTCACCTTGACATCCCTGTGGGAAAGGAATTTTCCCAAATTGTGGATTATCAATCTCATATCTTCAACCTGAAAAAGCAACAAGCTCTTTACGTTTCTCTAATAATGCAACAAAACGAATATATACATTGAAGATTGCAACTTACCCTAAGGTAGCCAACTTGATTCCTGTCGAAGAACCTAAAAGCCTGTTTCAGATGGGAAAAGTATAAAAGAAAAAGGATGACATTAATGGATTGATGGAGAGAGAATGAAACTGTTCAGCAATCAAACTAAAACAATAACTGAAAGGTATACCTGCAATAGTTCCTTGTCAACAACCTCCTTTGCCCTGGGAGTTTCTTTCTTTCCTGTATCCACCTTCCCCTCTTTTCTTTCACCTGTATCTGCTTCGGCCTTGGCCTTTGTTTCTGCGGCCTTCGTGTTAGCTTGTTCCTTAACATTGGGTTCGTCCTTCTCATTTCCAGGCACAGGAATCACATTGCTTTTCCCCTCTTCATTATTCTCATTGGAGGGATGAGGACTAGCATCCTCCATTTCTTCATATTCTTCTGGATCCTCCTCTGGGTCTTCTTCATCATCTGCTATATGCTCCATCTTAACCTCATCAACATGATCAACAGAACTATTCTCCTCAATAACAGTTTTTTCTTCATCTTTTTTCTCGCCATCTAGCAGAGATGAACTCAATGCTTCAGATGACTTAGCAGGCTGGTTCGTCACAGGGAGCTCATTTATCTTCGGACGCTTCGTTGGTGATTTTTCATCATTTCCTTTCTCAACTTTTTCTACTTCTCGTTGCCTCTTACGTTGGTTCCTTTTCATCACAAATTTTATTCGCAGCTTCTACAAAAACATAAATGAAGATGCATCATTACAAAATAAAAAATAAAAAATATCAAATATCAAATTATATGCAATATTCAAATTAACTGTCTTAAACCAACCTGGAGAAATGTCAAAAGACGGCATCCCATCTGATACTGAAGCTTTTCATAAAGCGTTTCAGCAAACAGTGAAAGCTGAGAGAATGGAGAGAAAAGAAGGGAAAAGGAGGGAAAGATTTACAAGGAAACAATTAGCTCTATTTTGCATCAGGTATAATGAGAAATACGCAAAGAGAACAAGTGAACCAGTAGACACAGATCCAAAATTCAGTCATAGAATTAAGGCAGGCAGACATGAAGAACATTAGATGCCACGAGACAACATACCTCAAACGTTGATTCTTCAATGTCCTTGTCAGTATAATCTAATAGTAAATCAAGTGAAAGTGATGATGATCGCAGCTGTCACAGATTACCACACAATTAGAGCAAACATGCAAGGAATATTAGATGAGGTGAACATGCAAACATATTTAATACATGTAGTAAACAAAACTGTGATATTCAGACTATAATCAACCTACTTTAGAATCCTTGCTCCACTTTGTTTGTAGAATTAATCCAGGGTGTCGAGGAGGTTCTTCAGACTTTCTTGTTTCTTTCAGTTCTTTATTTGATTTGCTTCTAGACTCATCTTTTCCATCTCTGTCTTTTTTCTCTTTCTCATCATCTTTCAATTTTTTCTTCATGCCATTATGGTTATCCTTACGAGCAATTTTTTGCGTGTCTGGCTCAATCTCCACTTTAGTCACAGAGCCACTCTTCTCACCAGCTCCCTTTTCATCTTTCTCATCCTCCTTAACATCCTTTGCATCTGCTTTACTTGAATTCGCCATATCAGTTTGTTTGTCACTGACTTGTGTTTTTGAAGCCTTTGGTTTAGAAATAACTTTTTTTTCTGTTTCCACAACATCACTTGCTGGCTTTTCTGCATCTGCTGTTTGCTTCCTCACACTTTCTGTTTCATCTCCAACATTTTTTTCATCCCCATCACCATCTTTCTTACTCTTAGCAACCCCTTCGTTCAGTTCAACACCAGTCGCCTTCCGTTTAGGCACCCTCTTAATGATTTTCTTTTTTACAATTGTCTTCACACTGGTATTTGTACTACCGCTTGGATCAGATTTATCCTCAGAGCATCCAGTTTCATTCTCAACTTTCTCCTTCGTGCCAACATTATCTTCATTCTGAGCAGCCTTCTCCACTGGAACCTTTTTAATAACTTTTTTCCTCACAAAAGTTTTCACTACAGCAGGATCAGCAGAAGATTCCTCCTCTTGACCTGGAGTCTCTGAATTTCCTTTTGTCCCTCCATCACCCAGATTGTCAGGTTGCTTAGTTGTAGTATCACTGGCTACCTTACCCACAACCTTCTGTCTGACAACCTTCTTTATAATCTTCTTCTTCCCGGTCTTTACAGTTCCAGTTGTCTGAACTTCAGCAGTTTCTACCTGTTCCTTTTTGTCCTCAATCCTGCCTTTGTCTCCTCCACTCACATCTTTTTTCTCAAGCTTCTTATCATTCACGTCACCTTTTCCTTCAGATGCATTCCCTTTCATATTAGTACCATCTTGCTCCAGTTTCTTAACTTCTTTCGCCCCTCCAGTGGATGCAGACTCTTTCTTTTTATCTTCTTTGTCAACTCTTTTGTGTTTTGATGATTCCATTTCCTTATCTAAACCAAAAACCAAGCAAAAGATGATTATTGATGAACATCAAACAAAAGATGTGAAATCATACACAACTAGAAGACCAACTCCAATTACCTTTCAGAACTTCCTTCTCCCTTGATCTCTACAAGAACAAACATACTAATTTTAAAAACAAGTAAACTATAAGCCAATCAAGATAAATTTACTGTTACAACTTTTGAGAAAATAAAATAAGGACAAGAGGATATTACAAAAGTATATATGATCAACAAGGGTTAAATGTAAATATGGCATCAAGAAGAAGCGAAAAAGAAAAAGGCTTTTGTAGCTAATCCTGAGTCAATGTTATTAAAACTTCTTAATCATCTGTTGGATCCATATTTAAAAAGCTCCATTGTAGGATTACATGGCTGCATCATGCCTGTCATGCATGCCGAAATAAATAAATACTGAAACAGAGAAACGCATCCCCAATAATTTAGTTAAAAGATTTTATAAATTGACAGAATTTTGTGAATCATTCACAAAGTGCATGACTGATGATTAACCATGGCCACAAATTGACCCGCAGTTGAACCACTGCATGTGAGATGCATACATGTTAACCTATCTACAATTTTTTCCATGTAAATGTGTGCATACATGTTAACCTACATACCCATCAATAATGTGTGCCAGTAATTAAAATAAAAATCTACCCAAAACAAAACCATACAAAACCCAGGGGAACTACGATAAAAACAACAAACCTCCTTTTTCAAAGAAAGTTGACGCTCTCTTTCTGCAACAGCTTTCTTGTGAGCAAGCCATTGGTCTCGCCATGAATCCAATGAAGGGAGACATTCAGACAAATCTGGGACAAATATTACAGTCACCTCTTTATGGCTGAAGACTCCATCTTTCCCAATTCTATCATAGTGTATCTGCAAATGTCAAATGGAACTGAAGAATTAGTCATAAATTTAGAAATCTGCAAAATAAAAAATAAAATACAAAAAGATTGCAACTAGGTAACAATCACAATCATTACTAATGTAAATTTGACCTCAAGAAAACGATTCCAGTGCTTGCAGTTCTGCAGATCAAGTTTAGCAACATCCTTTCCATATCTACAAAGAAAAACTCATTCAATCTAATAGAAAATAGCATTATTTATGTATCTCTATTAAAGATAGCAGACAGCACAAACCTTAGGGCAGTTTGAACTAAAGGGCTATCATCAACTGATGGATCACCACCATCAGCAGGATTCCACCGGCCACCAATTGCCATGCATGAACGGTCCTTTTTGAGAACAGCAAACCTAAGGATATTGCAGATATGTGATAAGCGATCATCGGAACCTCTTTCAGATGACAGCTCTTCCAAAGCATTTTTGCTAAGTCCGCTCATCAAGATAATCTGAATAGTGGAAATTAAATATAAAATAAAATACAGAGTAAGCAAGCAATTCGTCAGGTGTACTGTACCGCAGCAGAAGAAAAATAAAAAATTTGAGAGAATAAGAGAGAGAGAGAGAGAGAGAGAGAGAGAGAGAGAGAGAGAGATTGAGACTACGCAAATTAATCAGAGAGTATAACCAAAAAATTCAAAATTCAGTTTTCTTTATCCTCCTCTTTAATTAAGTTATCCACATGTTTTTCTATTCAGGAATGACTCAAGATTAACTACCTAAATTTTAGATAATAAGATTAAAGAACGGGTAAAACAAGAGGGGGGGATAGAAACATGAACTACCTTCGCGTTCCACACTATATTTCCACGTCCTGATTTTTCAGGTTCTTCAACCAACATTTCAGTAGCTCGCTCTTTCAGCTCAGTGGCATTCTCTTCTTCAACAAAATCATGCTCAAAACTGTAACACTCAACAAGGTCGTACAATTACATTTTCTTTTCTTTTTTACTTTTAATAAAGAATAGAGCTGAAGGGTTCCATATCCTGAATTAAAATAAGAATTCCTGAAAACTAATTAACTGACACAGCTTCAACAAGCAAAGTACCTGACAGGAGTATGAATAGACAGTTGAAGGTTCTCCCTAGGCCAGTTCACAACGGCCTACAACAATAAAAATGCCACACTTCATTTATGTCCTTAACCATCTGAGTCCATAAACCTTGAGTGAGAAACAAAAAATAGAGACAAACCTTACAGAACTCTGAGGGTATAAAGAGTCTGGGATATCGTTTATCTATAGAAAGATAATCCCTTTCTACATCCATCAGCCTGGTTGAGTAAACCTACACACAGATGATATTGTTACCAAAAGGAGTGAAACCATAAAGACATTTTAGGTTGTAGACAAACCCAGTAGTTTACATTGAATGATCAGTCTACATGTTAAAAATTCTAATACAACTGTGTTCCGAGTTTCCAGAGCTCAATCAGTTTCCTGTTGTAGAAGGCAAGTTTCTTCAATTTCAACAGGTATAACGACCACAACTGAAAACCATTCATCTACGTCTACTAACCAAAAATATTGTATAAGAGGATTTGGTGCATGCTTAGGATTTAATTAATCCAGACAGTTTAGAGTTAGCAAAGGTCTACATGAAGAGGTCTGTACAAGAAAAGGCCAACATACAGGATAAAGGAGATATAGCGAGAAGAGAGAAGTCCAGGAAATGTGATGGAGCCAACCATAAACAAAAGCGAACAAGAAGCATAGGAACACAGAAAGAAACATTTGCACGTAGAGCCAAAAGACAAAGTGGAAGCAATATTGAGGAGAAACATGGTAATAAGAGTAAGGAAGGTTAAGGATATCCCAGGGATTAGAAACTGAAATTCTGAACCAAAGATAACAGAAAAGGCATCACGATTGAAACCAGTGAAGAACTCAATTCCAAACAAAAGACTAAAGGCAGACTTGAAAGGAATAATTGTCAATATCATTGAATGGCTATGCTCTTGCACTGGTCCTTTTACCTTGCAGACATATTCTCTCCTTTTATCTTTAACAGGTGAATGACGCCTTCAGCATAACAGAACACCAGGTTAGTTAGAAAGGCTGCGAGACAAAGCAGCAATTTGCAAGAACAAGAGCAGGACGCAAAATAAAACATCAAGATCCACCTATGCAAAGCTTCGTGATGTGGCGAATCCTGTCGCAAAGATCTCCCCTCCTTTGCTAAAGAGGAACCACGACGATCCCTAGAAACTCTTGGTGGAGTTCGTTCCCGCCTGGTTTCAAGTGCACGTTTCCGCTCTCGATCTCTCTCCTTCACCCTCCGCTCCAAAATGCGTTCTCGTTCACGCTCTCTTTCTCGTTCTCGTTCTCGTTCACGTTCTCGTTCTCGTTCCCATTCCTTCTCCCTTTCTCTGTCTCTCTCTCTCTCACGCAAACGCTCCCGACGGCGCGCCTCCTCCCTTAGCTCAAATTCTTGAAGATAACTAGCCCTGTCATCCTTCCGTTCATCAATCCGTGGATGACCACCATGAGACAAGCTTCCTGGATAATCTGACTCAAGAGATGAGCCACGAATCCCTTTTCCTGTGGCATAGTCCCTACCAGGAGGTAGGCTGACTCCATAACCAGGATTTGAGGAACTTTGCGAAAACATGAGATCGTCATTTCTCCGTGGAGCTGCCCCTAATATTGATGGAGCAGGTTGTCCCCCATATGAAGAACCACTAAGCATAGATAAACTGCGAGGATCCGCATCCATTCTTCCTCCAAAAGAAGTAAGATCTTGAGTGGGATGACGACTAGCGGCACCCCTTGCTGCAAGATAATCAGCTTGTCTGCCAGAAATGTGTTGCTACTCAGTCTAATAAGAAATATATCACCATCTAACATAGCTGTGCACAGACTCATTATTAAGATGCGGACTATTTTGTTACTGAGAAAGGTAGGAATGACCTTTGCAATTCATTAATGGGGATGGAAAACAAACTACAAGTGATCTGACCATGAAATGGAGACCAAGTTCCAGTCAAAAGTGTAATACAAAGTCAGCAGAAAAAAAGTACCTTGCACTCCCGTCAAGAGAAGCAGACTGCAGTGATTGCGATTTCAGCAGTTGTTCTTGACGAAGCAGCACAGCCTTATCAATTCGATCATAAATCTCGGACTGTCGCAGAATATGATGCGAAAATTATAAAACTACAAATCAGGTCTTATTCAAAGAGGAAAGTAAGTAAGAGAAAAATAAACAAAAATATTCTATATTAAAAGATGAAAATGAAAAACCTGATGTTGAGGACCAAAACCAACAGAATCGGCATATCGACCAGTTGGTTCACCTTGCAAGTCCCTCCCCATATACGCACTCTGACGTTTACCAAATTGCCTTCTGTCTATCGCTGGATAATCAGGAGCCTTTTCACCATACAATTGATCAACTTTATGACCGTACCCGTGACTTGAAGATGAGATATAGTCACTAGATGAGAACTTTGGTGATTCTGGTTTAGCTGGGACATAACCACCACGACTTTCCAAAACCGATGGTCCAGAACCTTTAGTACTCATTGGAGGAACCTGTACACAATTTCAAATTAGACACCAGATGGTTCAACAAGAACTTCACAACAGATCAAACCGAAGCTTGGACGGCGAACTTCCACACTACTCAAACAGTAACTTCCGTGAAACCAGCAGTGCAAATACCACAAAAATACATTTAAGAGAAAAATTGGAGAGACATTAAAGATATTGAGAGACAGCACGTGCATATATAGAAAAGGTTTATCACAAACTCGATGTTTAATGCTTTCCTAAATATGAATAAGAATATACGAAAGAAGGAACGGAAAGGGGAATTATCATGGAGATTTCTATAAGGAGCACAAACGTTATAAGGCAGGTCAATAAGTAGTGTTATGAAGTCCTAGGTAGCAGAGAGAAACTAAATATTTGCTACTTGTATCACAACGAAAATAAAGCACCATTTAGCTGGACAAAGCACTATTTAGCTGGGTAAAGCACAGGTTACCAGAAATACATCAACATGAGTTCTAGAAGAAATAGACAAACCTGAGGTGCACTGCTCAAAGCAGCTGAACCATAGATAGAGCTATACTGTCCCCCATAATGAGCTGCAGCTGAAGGATGAGCTCTATACCCACTGGCATCAAGAACTTGCGACCCCCCTTCAGGCCCTCCGGCAGAATTTCCAGCATAAGCAGGTCCCAGCTACAGATATTACAATAAATGAGAAAAGGATCAAGAAATCCCCACGCAAAAATTCTGCATTTTTACAAAAATTAGCTGTATTGTGGATGCTCGTCGTAACTTTCAAAGGTTGAAACTGAAGAACAAAATGCCTAAACTTGCAAATTTAACATTGATATTATCCCTTTTCGAGCTATTAGATGATGAACAATAAGAATAATACAAAACACTCTGTAAAAAAAGTGAAGGAAATGCAAATTATACAACAATTGAAGAACAAAGGCTTACATTTTGGCCATATGCAGATTGGCTAGTATATGACTGTTGTCCGTACGCATTGCCCCCTCTGGACGAATACATGCTATTTCGCAAACAGCCCTATTAATAAAATAAATAAATGATCTGCAAGAAAATACGCCAATTCAAACAAGAACTCCAAGCTAAGGAAGAACGGTTGATTTTTCAAATTTTGATCATCAATCGAATAAGAAAAAACAAATAGATTTTTTATAAATGAAACTAACCCTAACGACGCTGATTATTGTGAGATTGCGAAGCTTTCCGTGTTGGAGCACACGAAAACCCTTCAACTCTGAGTATCTGAGGACCGGAAGACGTATCTTTTGTTTATCTGGTAGTTAGGTTTTGGAGCTTTGACCGAACGGAGTTTGGGCCTTGTCAGATCGGATTGTAATAGTCAACGAACCCGGAGAAAGTGCCGATTGAGCCCAAATGGGCCCAATGGCTGATTTAGGGAGTGGTTAATCACGTATTGCTCATTTATGAATAACCCAACAATCTTACATGCCCATAAAGTAAGTCGTCTCAATTTGCGTATATCGAAACGACATTAGGAATTCTCATTAACTACATACCACGGGAGTGTATTTCTTTTCAATGTGACATTTACTAATACGTAATTTAATTAAAAAGAATTGAATTGAAGATTAATTGAATTAAGGAGAATTAGATTTCGGATTCCTATTGGGCTCTGTTTGGTTCATGGAAAATAAGGCTTGAGGATGAGAAATTAATTGTTTTTTCATGTTTAGTAAGTCTAGGTATGAGAAATCGTTGCCTAGTATATGGGAAAATATGGGGAAAGTGAAGCCCTCGTCTCAAGTTTCCAACTTGAGTTTTGTTTTCCTTCCTCATGGAAAAATTTTGGAAAATGAGCTAACATTAAATAAACATTTTTCATAACCATTTTGTACTCATTAACAATTTAGAATTACAATATATCATACAAACTTTTTTTTTTTCATTCATACTCAAAACAAACATGGGAAATGAAATAAAGTAATATCTCCCGATTACTTTCCTAACATTACCAAACGTAGGAAATGAATCTTTCATTTCCCAAATTTTGGGAAATGACATAGGAAGTGATTTCCCCTCTAATCCATTCCGTAAATCAAACGAGGCCTTGAAGTTGTTTACTAAACCATATGATTGAGGAGAGTTAGATTCTGAATTCTTATTGAAGGTGTTTACTAAATCATATGGAATTGGGGTAAGAGTGGTGCTTCCTCATTGTTGGCTTAAAGTATATGACAAATTTGGAATTTTAAAAATTATATGAGGATATAATGGGTAAAAAAGACGAATTCCTAATGGTTTATTTCTTCGTGAATTAGATTACCACCTCCCACCCAAGAATTGAATTCCTCTAAAATCAGGAATTGAATTCTTAATTTTGTGTGGGCCCCACTTACTTTTTAATTAATTGATGTGAAGTAAATACATGAATCTTCCGTAGAATTCAATTCTTGATTAGTAAACACACCATTAGAGTGATCAGGAGACACTCATTCAGTTTTTTTTTGTGGCCTCTAAGTATGTTATAAATAAAAGTGTAAAAAGTGTTTTTAAAAAAGGATTTTCAACTCAAATGGTCCATCAACTTGTACACGAGTGGCATTTTGGTTCATGAACTAAATTCATCATTCAAATGGTCCATTTACTCTTTATTATTCGGCGAATTGGTAACACCATTACATTTTGTCAATATTGTCGTCAAATATAAGGGCAAAATAGTCCAATTAAATAACTTACACTAAATAATTTTAAGACTAAAATTTTAAATTTTTTAAATAAAAAAATTGTATCCCTCTCCCACCTCCCAACCCCCAGCCTGATCACCATGCCTACCATTTTCTCTGACACAACTCAACCACCACCCTCCCCATCCTCATCCCTGCGACAACCCAGCTCAGCCACTCATCAACTCCCATCCTCATCCCTGACTTGGATAGCCACCATCTTCCCTAACTAACAAGGTCACCATTTTCCCAAATATGAAAAATCAATCAAATCCAAACAATCTGCCAGAGGATTGGAGGGAGGAAGAGATTAGGAGAGAGTGGGTTCACGTGGAGGAGGTGTTGGGTTTAGGTATAGGGTTTGTTAAGGTGGATGTGGCTAGGGGATGGGAGTTGGGGAGTTGAGATTGGAGTGGGGAGGATGATATGGGGGTAGGGTTGGGTGGGTTTTTTTTTTGGGGGGTGTGTTGTTGTTTTATTCTTATATAGTTTTTAATTAATTTTAAAAATAAAAAAATTTAGTATTAATTTTTAACCCTATTTTTTTAGATGTCAAAGTCCTATTTACCCCAAAAAAAATATATAGCATGTGCTGCTCACATAATTATATTTGATATAAAAAAAAAATAGACGGTAGAACTAGTTTGCCGAATAATAAAGAATTAAAGAACCATTTGAACGAAGAATTTAGTAAAGGGATCAAAATGCAACTTGTATACAAATGGGGGACCATTTGCTTTGAAAACCCCTTAGAGCATCCGCAAAGGTTGCTCAATAGTTCATTTCAGTTCAATAGTTCAATTTATTGAACTGTTGTAGCTATTAAACTAAACTGCAGTTTCACTTGTAATGGTGCATTTCAATAACTTACCAATTAAAAAATATCTTTTTTTAAAATATCTTTTTAAATTATTGAATAAAATAAAATGAATAAAGTGAATTACGATAAAAATTATACAATTAAAATGGTTTCAAAGAAATCTTTAAAAGAGACCAATTACATATATATAAAGTAGGGTAAACTGCCGAATACCCCCTTTGAACTATCACGCTTGTTGAAATCTCCATCCTGAATTAATTTTTCAGTCAATTTAACCATCGTATTATATTTAGTGGCACGTGTGGCTACTGTTGAGGTTATTGTTGAGTGTAATCTCATCATCACCCAAACCCAGCAACCCATACCGCTCTCCTTTGCTTAAACAACCATCACCTCCTCTCTCTCTCTCTCTCTCTCTCTCTCTCTCTCTCTCTCTCTCTCTCTCTCTCTCCTCCTACATAAAGGCCAAATTCACAAAGCACAATAACCCAGCAACAACCTGGGTGTGTGCCGAAACTCTCTCCCTTTCTCTCACTTCAATTTCTCAAGGATCTGATGTTTCTTCCATTTCAAATCTCACAATTTTCCCTTCACATAAAAAAGGTGTTGCTGAAATCGTGGATTCGAAACCCTGGGTTTGCTCCAAAATAGAGTCGTGGCTGCTGAAAAATTAGGGTGAATGAATTTTGTATAGTTTGTACCGTTTTCATCAGCCATCTGCAACCAAAAAAAAAATTTAATTTTTTTCATGAGTTTTTGAAAGAATGATGATGATGGCGACTGTTCACCCGTTTTGTGTTTACTCCTATGATGGAAGAGCAAAGTTCCCCACTGCCTTGAGAACCATAGACTGGTCAACAAGTCAGCTTTCTTTGGTGTGCGAGCGTGCCACTGCTAGTAATAAAAATTCTAGCAGACTTAGTTTGGAATAGATAACTTGCGCCCCAAGTTACTGATTTCTGCAAACAAACGATTGTGAATTTGGGTGAGGAATATCTCCCAAGTAAGTTCTTTTCTTGCCTCAGACTGGTGAGGACTTTAACAATTTATCTCAGTATAAAGAGGTTGTTCTGGCCAGAATGGTTGATGAAATTTAAACTGTTTTTTAGGCGGAACTGCCTTTTACAAAACTATAACAATAAATACTTATGCTAGAGAGAGATGAAGATACAGCTGGAACTCCATTTCTGTCGAGATGGAAGGTTCTGATCTGGGCTGAACTGAAAATGCCTGGGCTGGACTGGACCGTTGACAACTTTGACTGCTAGGTTTCAACTATAAATCGATACCAAAGGTTGATTCTGGCAGGGCTTCAATGTACCTCAAGCTTTCGTGAAGCTTTTGAGTGGGCAGAACTGCGGTTTCCTCAGTCTGCGCGGGCAGAAGTGACTGTTTTTTAGGGCTTTAGGGGCTAGAGACTGCACTGTGAATTTTACTGAGGTTTTCCATGTTTGGGGAAAGCTCAAGCTCTACCTGTCTTGGTTTTTTGCTGAACCAAATTTGTAACGAGAGAAATCTCGTTTTGAATGACTCATTCCTTAAGTCTGAGCCTTGGGAATTCTGATCTGAAAGCTGGTTTCACTTGAAATTCAAGTGGGCTTTTTGGTTGATTTTTGAGTTGTCCATTTGACTGAGGGTTTCCTTGTGTAAGATTTTTGTTTGATTGAATGATGAATTTTTTGTTGTCCCTACCCTGTTCACTCCTTCTTGTATTTATAGTAAATGTTTTTCTGGAGTAGGGTGATTCTGTTTAATATTGGGCGGCAAAAAGATATCTCCCCCTTTTTTCTTCTTTAATGGAAAGAAAGAAAATATGATTTCATCAGTTTCGGTAGATAGGCTCTCAAATAGGCAATCACTTCCCTGTTTTTCTTGAAAAAGAATCTAATCTCTTTTCCCAATTTCAACTGCCCCTTGTGAGATTTCACCCGTGATGGTTAGTTTGACTTCTTTTCTGGACAGCTCCCTGCTTTCCTGCTTATCCTTCTCTGAGATTGTAACTTGCTTAGCTCTTTGGGAGAATTACCTTCTCTGTAAAAATATAAGAAAAAATCTCTGAATATATATATGTAAGAGGGATTTTGATCTTCAGGGTTTTCAGGTTTTTCAGAATAGCTTGATGTCATTAACTTTTCAATCACTTCTTCTATGACAGTTGCCATTGTTGACTTTCTTTTATCCCAGAAATGTCACGTGGGTCTGTTTCCTGTTTCTGGGCTTCCCCCTTTTTATCACAACGGGCCTGTGAGGCCCAGGTTTAGTTTTGTTTGCTCTGATAAGCTTTGGGCTGGGTGTGTCAATTTTTAGGCCCAAACAGCGACATATTAGATCAGAACAAGGAGGGTGTAGCTATTTAGTACATGATGGGATTTTTTTGTTTTCTTTTGCTGTTTGTTTTTCAATTCCACTTGCTCCTAAGTTTGGCCTTAGGAGCTAGAAATTTGTCTTCACCTCAACAACTACAACAAGAACAAAGTCAGAGTTATGATGATGAGGTGGGGCTGCTGTTGGCTTTCAAACAATCTTCTGTTCAATCTTATCCCCAACAACATCATTTTGGTTCTTCTATGCTTCAATTTTTATTTTTATTTTTGTCAATCGTTGGGAGGGGATGGGGGATATCAGTTAAATTGATTCTCTACAAAATTTTGCCAATATTAAGCGTCGAATCTGGTTGCCCATTTGGAGGGGAGGGGGGAAAATTGCTGCCAAACCACCGCAGTTGAACCCCATTGGCCTTCTCTGCTTCAGCTT